TACAGTGTACTAATCTGAAAGGTTATGCGGTATGAGTGTGGGTGTTTGGACATGCCCGGAGTTTCCAAAAGATAGAGACTCATACTCGCAATCATCGTAGTGGCACGAAAGCTTTTATTACAAAGCAAATACCATTTAAACGAGAGTAAGAAATAAAACAAGACTGGTATCAGTGGATATGCAGCTTTTTATCGAGGATGAATCAGCAAGATAGGTATGTACCAGTGCCAGTGCAGAACTGGAGACTGGGTACCAGTCTGACTGGATGACCCAATCCGACTGGATATCTATATAATTCAACTCATTTTCAAATAAATTGGGGTCCTTCGTAAGCCATTATGAAATATAGGGGGATATCCTCTATAAATCATTACAGGATATATAGAGCTAGACTCTAAAAAATTACCGTATCCGAGAAAACCGAAACGAGTTCGGAAACCGACTCGGAAACCCTTATCCGTTTCCGAGAGGGTTTCAGAACAGTGAAAGTGTTTCTAAAAATACCCTTTCGGTTTCCGAACGTTCGGAAACCTAGAGGTTTCCTACACTCCCCAATTGGACACTCTAAAAGATTCTAGAATACCTTTTTCTTGCTGTCGGAAACCCAAATGTTGTCTAGGAAACTGGAAAGGTATTGTCAAAAACCCATATTAGAAGAAAAACTGAGTTAGTATCCGAAAGGGTATGCGAAAGTACCTTTTCATTTCCTGAACGGTTTCCGAAAAAACTTAATTTCAAAAGGGTATCATAAGAATCCAAAATGGGTTTACGAAAATACCTAAATTGAAAATGGTGTCACAGTCAACTAAAATAGGAGTCCGAACTTTCATTGAACATTTTAAAGGGTTCCCGATGATTTAAACATTTCGTGCTCTCGAAAAAAAGGCGTCATACTGAACCATTTGGACTCAAAAATGCTTCTACCGAAGATACTGAACCTTTCAAGGTTTTATTCGTTTATTAATAAACCATCGAGGGTTCTAGCGACTTTAAAGAACCATTTCAGATCATGCATAGTTCCGGGTGTTTGAAAGGGTTCTGTCTTGCACCATTTTTTTACGCTGAATCATTTTTCCGAAATGGTTCTGGCTAAAACCAAGATGCGATATTTTCTGAACATGATTTAACTAATGTAAATCTGAAATAGGTTATCGAGGTCTAGGAATCCGAATCCGTCATCATTTTTTCGATCCGAGCTCCTATTGGTCAGAAATTGGGTCCATCAAAAATTCGACGGCTGCAAAGTTAGACTTTTTATTTCAACTCCGATCTGAATTCTGATCAAAGTTTGAAATAGGTTATTGAGGTCCAGAAATCCGAATCCGCCACCATCGATTTCGACCCTGGGGATACGAGTCGGATTACTCAATCCGGGCATTCGGTGTATTCCTATAGGATTCTTATAAGATGTGAGGGGATTCGATCAGAATGCTGTTGGATCTGGCCGGCTCCGATCAGATCCCATTGTCGGATTCATGAACCTGTGCAGGTGTGTCTCGATAAGCAATTCAATAATAAGTGGTAACTTATAAAATGTGATTATTCTGTTACCTATTTTGATATGTCACAATTATTGATAGAAAGGTAATTGCAATCTGATTAAATGACTTCAATATTTTGTTTAGGTATGTAGCAATAATCAATTGAAATGCAAGTTCAATATGATTAAATGAGTTACTGTTGTTATCTATTTGGGAATTTGTAAATAATCAATTCAGTGGTAAGTTCAATCTTACAATATAAGTTACTCTTCTTCTTTTTGTTTAGGATCGTCTCAACAACACGTAACGGCGATGCCCTTTTTGTGCGAATAGAGAACGAAGCGCTGGCTCTTATTGTGCTCACAACAAATCTACAGGGTGTCCCAAAAGTCCCCAAGAAAAATTTTCGTAAATATCTCTTATACAATTCAAGCAATTTAATCGTTTTTTTAATAACATGATAGCATATTCTTTTAAGTTTTATTTTAATAACAAAATCGTTAACAGATACTATTCTGAACTGTCACTTTTGACTTCAGTATCAAAATGTATCCATTTTCGATTTTTCAAAAATACGAGTACCCGAGATGATGAAAAGCTTTTGAGCCCATATGATGATTAGACACTTTTGAGGTCATATTTTTCCTTTTGCTACACGACCACTCTACTACAACGACCTCCAGAAGGTTCATGCTTTTATGCAGTTTTGGCTGAGATATGAAATTTTTAGTGGGTTATGTTCATGATGACCCCCATTTTCAAAATACAATTATAGTTTCGAATTTTGACCTGAAACTTTGCCCAAAGCGAAGTCTCACGCAGACTGCTTCTGTGCAAAATTTTAGAACTTTTGGATCTAGTATTTTTCAGATATGCATTTTTCAAATTTTGCAAAAGTTACATGGACAAACGCCTAAATTATGAAAAATTCATATCTCAGAAAAACTACATCGAAAACTTCTGAAATTTTATACAGAAGCTAGTCTGAGTGAGCCCTCGATTTGGTCAACGTTTCAGGTCGGAATAAGTATTTCGGGAAATTTCCTTCGAAAATGTTAGTTTAGAAATCGAAAGTGGGTACACTTGGATATTGAAGTCAAAAGTGACAGTTCAAAATAGTATCTGTTAACGGTTTTGTTATTAAAATAAAACTTAAAAGAATATGATATCATGTTATAAAAAAACCGATTAAATCGCTGAAATTGTATAGGAGATATTTACCAAAACTTTTGTTGGGGACTTTTGGGACACCCTGTAGGTAAATATAACACATAGAAATAAGGGTTAGGGATAGTTTTAAGGGTTAAGGATAGGAATTAGGGTTAAGGATAGAAATAAGGGTTAAGGATAGAAATAAGGGTTAAGGATAGGTTTAAGGGTTAAGGATGGGAATTAGGGTTAAGGATAGGTTTAAGGGT